TAGACCAGGCTGGCCTTGAACTCACAGAGATCCACCTATCTCTGCCTCCTGAGAGCTGGAATTAGAGGTGTGTGCCAACACCACCCGGCAGTTTGTGTTTTCTATATTGCCTCTATATTTCAGTTTTCAAGTCTTGAACCGTTGTTTTTTTCATCTGTTTGATTATTTTTTTCTTGGACTTCTTTAAGGGATTTATTGATTTCTTCCATTTTTTTTGTCTTTTCCTTGATTTCTTTAAGGGAATTTTTCATTTCCTCTGTAAGGGCCTCTATTAACTTCATCGTTAGTTTTAAGGCTCTTTTCTTCCGCTTTGACTGCATTGGAATGTACAAGTCTTGTTGGTGTAGGACCAGTGGGTTCTGGTAGTGCCATGACACCCTTTATGTTGTTGAATGTATTCTTACACTGGCATTTACCCATTTGTGGTTGGGATAACTATAGGTACAGGTGTTGATTCTAACGATGTCTTTGTTAGCGGTGTCTTTTGTTCCTTTATTATTTGTCTCATTTATTGTGTTTTGACCTGAATGACCAAGGGTTCTGGTGATTGGCTGGTTGTCAGGTCCAGTAAGGTTGTCTCAGCTGAGGCTTGTGAGGATTTGGGTGCCTAAATCCATCGTATCCTCTAGTCCTTCTGACTGACGTGGTCTTTACTTGTGCCTATGGGAGTCTGTTCTTCCAATTGATGTGGGCTGTGCCTATGTCACCTGTTCTTCCAATTGGTGTAGTTGGTATCTGTGCCTGTAGGGGCTGCTGACCAGCTGCTAGGAACTGTTCTTCCAAATAGCGTGGGTAGTACTTGTACCTATAGGGTCTGCTGATGTTGCAGGGAAGGGCTGTCCATGGGGAGGATGCTGGGGTAGGTGGATTTGGGTGGTGGAGTGGGTCTTGTGGAAACAGTGTCCAATGGGTGGCCGCAGTGGTGGTGCAGCCTGTTTGCAGGTCTTTCAACTGCTGGGGACTGCACAAGAGCAGTGAAGTTCCACCAGAGTTGAGGGCAGGGTTCAGCTGTCTTGTTGGGGCTGTGATAGGAGGGGGAGGGGCACGGGATGTACCCTGACTTAGGGCCTGGAGGTTGGGGCAGTTCAGGTGGGAGACCCTTCACTCACTTATTCTTCCAACCCATATGTGTGGCGCTTGGGCCTATAGCATACCCTGCTTCTTGTATGTGTTTTAAGGATTGAATTCAGGCCCTCAAGAACCTTACCAGCTGTCTCAGTTTGTGTCTCTGTTGCTGTGATAAAACACCGAGCAAAAGCAACTTGGGGATGAAACAGTTTATTTGGCTCCCAGGAAAGCTGAAGTAGGAGCTCAGGGCAGGGGCTGAAACAAGAGAACATGGTTACTGGCTTGCTTCTCATGGCTTGCTCAGCCCACTGGCCTTCATTTCTTTCTTCAAACAATTTTTTTTTAAAAAAAAGCTTTAATTTTTTTTATTTTATGTGTATGGCTGTTTTGCCTTTGTGTTTGTCTGTGTATCACTTCAGTGTCATGCCAAAAAAGGCCAGAAGAGGGCGTCAGATCCTCTGGAACTAGATGTAACTGGCTGTGGGCCATCAGGGAGATGATGGGGATTGAACCCTGAGTCCTTTGACAAAGCAGCCAGTGCTTGTGCCCAGTCAGCCTGCTTTCTTATGCAACCCAGGGCCACCTACCCAGGGATACCAAGCCCACAGTGTGCTGGGTCCTCCCACATCAATGGCCAGTCAAGAAAATGCCCACTCCAGACTTGCTGGCAGGATAATACGATAGAGGGATTATCTCCATGGAGGTTCTCTCTTCCTGGGTGATACTAGCCCATGCCCAGCTGACAAAAGAACTGAGAAGCACCCTATCTGAGCCATCTCTCCAGCCTGAGAGTGGAGGTTGCAACACAAATGTGTTCGTTTAAAACAAACACCATTAGAGACAAATCCCCAGAGACCAGGGTCTGTCCACTTCACTCCCGTTACTCATTATCTTACAACCATATTCACACAAAGATGTGACCGACTAATTTCTCCCGCAGACATTGCAGCTGTGTTTGTTGCTGTGTGTGTGTTTACATATACTTCAGGGCACTTGCACAATGACACGATTGCCTAGCAGTACAATATGAGAATGTATTCTGTCCCATAAGCCACATGCCTATCCATTATCCTTAGCCATGCGATGGACGGATAGTGGGCACTCAATAAATAAATGCTCAAAATCTGTGAGCTGTGGGAAAGTGGGGGAAGAACCATTATCACCAGGCATCGAGGAGACTCTGGTGCCATTGGTTGGTACCACATTCACGGCATAAGCAGTAACTGGCTCCCAATGAGTCATGATGCAGGCAGGTGTAATAGATGCTGCTAATTTGAATTCTGTTCGCTTGTAGCAATGTTTGTATTCAATTGTAAATTTATTTTTATTTGATAGGTGTCACAGACCTAGAAGCAGAAGCCATCTTGTGCTTATATAAGACTTTACAATAATAAGTAAGGGTCAATCCTGGCCCGAGGATTGTGAGTTATTTACTTTTCTATTCCTTATAAATCCCACCTGTGCCATGGAGGAGATTCATTAAGTGAACTCAGTCTCAGAGAGACAGCTAATAAATATGTCCTGCCTGATGTGTGGTTCCTAGACTTTATATAGTCACATAAAAAATCGTGTGTGAACATATCTCAAAAGTTTTTTTTATATCTATTTATGTGTTTTGTGTGTGAAGGGTGACACTTGTGACACAGTGCACATGTGGAGTCAGAGGACAACCTTCAGGTGGTCTCTTTTCCACCGTGGGGGTTCTAGGAATCAAACTCAGATCGTCAGGCCTGTTAGCAAGTGGCTTAGCCTCCTCAGCCTTCTCCCCAGGTCCCACATTTTATGTTTGAACAAGATAATTGCTCATATCTTCGGCTAAATTTCTCTTGCTTTAAGAAAAGATTTGTTTTTATTTTTATTTATATATACAGGGCAGGGGTGAGGGGATTGGGTGTGTGCATGTGAATGCAGGTGTGCTCGGAGGGGTGGGGTGGGGGC